TCCTAATGATTTTTGGCATAAAAGAAAAATCTATAATTTTGACCCATACAATGTATTGTTGCCTATTGCTACAAATATACCCCAGTGACTTAAGACTAGTTTTGTGCTCCAGGGTCACATATTTATTAGTATAGTCGCTTATCTTCCTGTACTTTCACTTTCGTTTTAGCTCGGCTCATATGAAGGACACTCGCGCTCCCTCTAGCGGCGCAGAGCAGCAGCACATTCTCATCTGAGACTCACAGCAGCTGTGCTGTTAGTTTTGTTCAACTGCTTACACACATTTTCAAAACTTTGCCTCTTTTTTTTTCAAAACTTTACACACAAATCCAAGAATTGCACACACAAAATGCAAAATGCCTCACATCTCTTGCAAAATGAAGCACTTCATTCAAAGTATTAGAAACATATCTCAAAAGCAAACATTTGCAAACACATTTGCCATAATATTAGTTTTTTTTTCAACTGCTTGCACACAAACTCTTTACTTGTCACACAGTTTCTGAAAGCTGACACTCAAACAGCAGAAGCACACACCAAATCTGCAAAACCATACACTAATTCTCAGTCTTTGACTCAGTTTTCAATTTCAGAAAACACTTTTCTTCAAAACACAACACACAGTTCTCTATGTAACACACACAAATCTACAAATGTGTAACAAATTAAAAAATAACAAATTAAATGTTAATAATTGAATTTACATTTCCTTCAGCCTGAGGCTTATTCATTTTCACTTTCAGGGCTTTTACATATGCCAAAATATAACTTTTTCATATTAAAAACACAAGCGAGCCCAACCCAGATGAGAAAAATAAATGCAAATAGTTATTTTTTTAGGGAGTAACTCACTATTGTAATGCACTACTTTTAAAAGTAAGTTTTCCCAACACTGCTGAAAACACAGTATGAATGATAATTACACTTAACATGTGAACTAGATATCAGAAGCGTTTTATGTGGTTTAATAAGGAGAATAAAAACATAATGCTGATATCCAGCGCTCTGTTTCATGACAAACACTAGTTACTCTTCAATAACAGCCAATCAGCATTCATTTAGTCATCTAACTCTCATAAAGAATCAACTAATAATGACTCTGCACTGATGAACTCTCTGAACACATCCTTCCACAAACAGAGACGGTCCGTATTGCTCAGTAAATATTAAATCATGTTTAACTGTGTTTTGAAAAGCTTTGCTGTAAAACGTAAATCAAATATTTTCCCACCCATAAGAACAAACATTGATTCCATTAGTGGCTAGAAAACACATTGTGCTATAAGACTTATAAAAGAAAAGCAAACGCACATAAACCTGAAATGGCGTATATAAGAGTTATAGAAGACAAAAAGAACAAAAAACAGCTGAGATAACATGCATATAATCATACACAAAGACATTATTAGACAAAACTATTTGCAAAAGGACATCAGTGGATGTAACAACATAATAATTTGATCTTTGTATTGTATTTCATGTTTGAACCAAATAAAACTGCAGTGACTTCTGTTTTGTCTTTATTTAACTGAAGATAGAGAGAGAGAGAGAGAGAGAGAGAGAGATCAACTTTTACATCCAAATGCATCAGTTTAATATGAAAAATGTAAA